AATCCTTTGCTTCCTTTGATTTGGTTGATTTGTCTGACTTGTCCGGATCTCCTGGCTTACCTGCTGCACTCCTCGGCCTGTCTGGCTTGCTTGACTTGTCTGCGTTTTCCACCTTCTCTGCCTTGTGTGCGACCTTTACAGAATCTGCACTCCCACCGCCGTTATTGCGGTTACCACCACTATTGGTACGGTCACTGCCGCTGCTGTCACGGTAACCACCAGTGCTGTTCGCGAAGCAAAGGTCCGGGCTGCCCCCATCCCCAGCTGTCCCATCCAGCCCCACCCCTCCATAGCTCACACTGCTCGCATGCACGCCCCTCCGCGCCCTACCACCCCTGCTGCTGCTGCTACTGGTGCTGCTGATAGTGCTGGCGGTGCCAGTGGTGCTGGTGCTGCTGCCAGTGCCACAGAACGCGCCGCTGCTGCTGGCGGTGCTGCTGCTGCTGATGGAACAAGCAGCCGCGGCAGCAGCGGCTTCAGCCGCAGTCAGCAGGTTGTTAGGGTCCGAGGTAGATCTACCCTCGCGGGAAGACGGACGGCTGTTTGGTCGGTGCGTGCCGCTGGTGGTGCTATAAGGACCAGTAGCAGCAGCACCGCCAGCAGCAGCGGCGGCGGCGGCAGCTTCAGACGCGCTCAGCAGGTTGCTGGGATCGGAGGTTGATCTACCCTCGCGGGAGGAAGGACGGTTCGTTCTAGACGTGATGGTAGTGGAATGGAGGGAGCGAGAGAGAGGCGAGGAGGCGGGGGAGGGTACAGGAGGCAGCGAGGAGGAGGAGGAAGAGGAGGACGCGCCAGCAGCCGTTGCTTTCTCTCGTCTCCTCACAGCACCGCTTTCACCAGAACCGCCCGTCCCAGTGCCGCCTCCCCCTGTAGCCCCTCCCCCAGCACTAACCCCCCCATCCCCCCCGTCCGCCCCGCCTCCTCCGCTGGCTGTGCGCGACAGCTTGCGGTGCAGGGAGCTGCTGGCGCGCGCGCGCTCGCGGGGGGACCCCGCGGACGCCTTGGCGGAGGGCTGCGCGGAGGGCTTTGCGGAGGTGGATTTAGTGGACGGTTTAGATGCGATCTTTGAAGACGATTTGGCGTTGATTGGAGAAGGGGAGCCGTGGGAAGGGGAGGACGTGGCGTGGACGGAGGGATGGGAGGGATGGGAGGGGGAGAGGAAGGGGGAGAGGGCGGAGGGGGAGGCGGAATCAGTGACGGAATCGGAGGTGGCGGCGGGAATGGCTTCGGACGCGGAGGCGGAGCGGGGGAAGCGGAGGGCGGAGCCGCGACGCGAGCGGAAGATCACGGGGACCAGCACACGATGGGGGTGCGGCTGCTGCTGCTGCTGCTGCTGCTGCTGATCCTGATCCTGATTCTCGTTCTCGTTCTCGTTCTCGTTTTGGCTCTGATTCTGACTCTGCTGTTGCTGCAGTTTCTGCAGCGATCTCTGCGGGGGCTCTGCAGCATCCTGACCGTTAGATTCCTCGCCGGTTCCTAGATCCTCCGAAGGCGAGGCAGGGCGAACAACAAACACGTCAGTCTGGCCAGCAGACGAGATCTGACCCCACGGCCGGCTCTGCATATCACTCTGCTTCTGACTCTCACTTTGGCTCGAGTCAGAGTGATCAGAGTCAATCGCGGCAAGCTCACTCCACGGCCCGTGCCCCCCCCCACCTGAGCTCTGATCCCAGGGCTCCATCCGCGCGCCTGGCTTTTCACCTGAGCCGCCCGCTGCTTCTGCTGCTCGCAGGCCTTTTCCCGCAGTGGTAGCGACGTGGTGAGGGGGAGGCGGGGAGGAAGAGGAGGAGAGGTGGGAGGGAGGCGAGGTGGAGGTGTGGGGCTGGGAGGGGGAGCAGGAGAAGCTGTAGGAGGAGCGGTGGGTGGGAGGGGTGGGTGGGCGACCGGACAGGAGAGCCGCGGGCTTGAAGGCGCGAGCGGCCGGCGGATCCTGGGGAGTAGACTGGAAAGAGAGAGGGGGGAAAGGGGAGATGAAACGAGGGGAAAAGGGAGCCTTTCAAAATTCTCAAAAGGAACAGGAGCGCCGCGGGCTTGAAGGCACGAGGGGGGGCGGATCCTGGGGAGTCGACTGGGGAGAGAGGGGGGGAAAGGGGAGATGAAAAAAGAAAGTGGGGGGGTGGGGGGAAGGGACAAGGAAAGGAGAGGAATGGGGGAGGCGGAAGGGGTAAGGGGGAACGGGAGAAGGAGATTTTGCGCAAAGCGGGCGGAAGAGCGTAAGGAGAGTCAGCTGGTTCAAGGCGGAATTGATAAACTGGTGATTCCGCCTTATCTAAGACGTTTCTGCAGTTTCTCTTCCTTCTAGCCCTCCGTCTCGCAACCATCCGCGACAATCCCATTGCAATCGTTATTGCGTGCCTGCGGTTACAGTATCGTCTTCCATTCGTGCAAACTGGAATGCCGTGCATCAGTGTGACGAATTCTCCTCCGTAACTTTGCGCGACCTCTCCTCCTCCCCCTCCTCCCCTCCCCCTCCCCACCTCCCCTTCTTCTCTCCCCTTCCACTTTTGAGGCCTTTCAAAAGAGTTTGAAATATCTCAGAACGTTGTGTGCCTCCGCGTTCCACTCATCACGCGTTACAGCGTGAGCACTTGTTCGACACACGAGGCACGTTCTTACGTTCTTGTCGCCTGTGCTATAGATCCATCCAGGTATATAACTCGCCCCAGTGTTTTCTCTCGCACCATCCAGAAACGCTATGTCCATTTTCTCCGTGCTCCCAACACAACGAGACGAACGGACATTTCGTTGACCTACCACACATTTTTCAAGAACGACGTTGAATCCACATTCCACCGTTCAAAGGCATGTGACCCTGCTTAAGTTGCTCCGTATATTCTATATATAAGGTCTTAAGTTGCTCTCTCACCTCTGTCGGGGAGCATAAAGCCGGATCCACATCGGACTGTTCCATAGCCTGAGATCCCGCTTTCCGTAAAGCGCGCTGCATGCTGCTGTAACTCCCACCGCCTTCTCCGCCGGCTCTCGCGTCGCGCGCCGTCTCTCCCACGGTGACGGACGCACTCTTCGGAAAACGCAATCCCGCAGTTCCAACTCCGCCGGTAGGTTTCGGTTTAATCTTCGGCAGGAGTAAGTACGAGCGGCCCGGAACGAGTAGATGGTCAGGGGGGAGGGGAGGAGGGGACTCGTCTCGTGCATCGCGTGCGTTGCTGATGGCGACTAATTCGTGCTCCGGGTAGTATCGGAGGACTTTAGAGACTGGCTGCGCACCGGTGAACGCGTCTATGGCCGCATCGCCCATGCGTATGGAAAGAGGCTTATCACTGTAGATCGCCATTGATAAATGATATAAATTACAATAAGGTTCTATGTGAAAGCGGGGAAAGAGACTCCAAGATTCTAGAGCATCTGATTTCAAGGAAATAAGTGCTGATACGAAAATGCTGGGACTGTCATGGACCGTCTTCAGGATAAGAATGGCTCAGCGTCTATAATAGCTGCATTTTCAGATCACTATACAAAACATTAACTGACACATCCTTCGCAAAATGCAGACAAACATGGCGGATGGTCGTTGTGGACTGGCTATAGCTCACGTCCTTTCCTAAGTTACTGAGCTGAAACTCTCCATGAATAGGTGAAGCCCGCTCGACCACTAACGTTTTGCACAGAGCTGCACAACGCCAGAAACCGCCATGGCCCTTGAACCAGACACACAACACCACACCACAGATATTCGCCGCCAGCCTTGGGATTGCCCTTCCGAGACTCCGTCTCTTCAGAGTTGCATCAGTCAGGGAGAGTGATGTTGACCAACAACCACAGCCATGGCGCATGATCCTCCAGCCCGCAGATGTCCCTCAAATATGAACAATCTTCCAACGGTACGGAGCGGTTCTTTACGTGGGAAAAACGGTTCTTATGATTGTTACCATGCGAGCCACCCACCCAAGAGAATTTGTTGGTATTGGTTGGGGATGGAGGATGGAGTGCGACCAGCAAAAGTCGTCGCAGAATGGTTCAGCTGCTCAGCGAAGCAGTTCGTCAACCCTTGGTTTCGCGCAGATATGCTTCATTGTTCGAGTGTACACGTACCCAGCCGTGCCAAGCCCAGAGCTTCCGGTCTGACCTACCAGACCAAACGCCGTACAGTACTGACCACAAAAACAAGCCGAGCCAACGGTTTGCAGGCCCTACAAGGCCTCCCATTGGCTGAGTCGACTTCTGTTTGAAAGGTGAAGGGCAGCCTCCGATTGGTGCACCGTTGGCTTGCTCGGCTTGGAATTCCCTCAGGTGTATCATCCCTCAGCAGCTTTGAAAACGACGCCCAGCATGGAACCAACAACCAGGCTGTCAAACACACACGACATGGGAAACAGCGCAATTTGGCAGCATGTTCACTGTACCCACTCCCTGGCCTTGCCGTTGTCCGCCATACAGTGTCCATGGAGGCCTGATTTGGGTTTGGTCAACGCTTCTCCAGGACGTTTGTACAGCATGCTATAGGAATTTAATTGTTTTATCGATGATTTTTACTAAATTCAGCATTACCGAGTGCCAACAATGACGGCACAGAAGAAGAACAGCTTCAATCATATGGCATCATGCTTCACCAATAGCTTACAGAACTAAACGGCACCATTGAGTCAAATGACCATCCAGAATTACATCTTTCTAGAACCATCCTTATGGCTTTTTTCTTCATCACCTGTTTCCTCAGGCACATGCTCATCCTCCTCCTCATGAGACTCTGTTGTCTCCACTTCACTTGTCCCGGATCCACTACTTTTTTCAGCAGGACTGGTTGTGCTGCGGCTACCTCCACCCAATGTTGTGCTGCCTCGAAGAATTCGTGGGAGCCAGCTGTCAGACGCTGCGCTCTCCAGTGCATCCAAACGCGCCTTAAGCATCTGCAATTCCCGCTCAAGCTCAAGGTCCTTCTGACGAAGAGCCTGGGTGGGGTTAAGACGAATAAAGCAAACACAAACAAAAGGCAATGGAGTAGCAAATGAAATAATCGGCAAGTAAAAATAGGAAAGACCTTAAGATTCAACACTCACCTCCCTTCCCTGCCGTCTCTTCTCCTCTTTCCTCGAATCAGCTATTGAGCTTCTTGTGTACTCTGCAACAACAACGCCACCAGCCACCTGCAGAAAAGACAATGGAGGAGCACCCACATGAGCCAACTGATCCAATCCACCGGGTGAAACCGACTCACTATATATAAAAGAGCCTGTAACAACAGACCACCGTCACATTTTATACATTCGTACAAAACGTGGCTTTATTGCTCCAGCGTGACATAACCAGTTCAGCCATTTCACAACCCCAAGATCTCATGTCAACCACTGCAGCCTCCACACAACTCAATTTCCCCAGCTCACAGTACAAACCCTTCCAAACCACAGGGAATATCCCCAGGAAAAATACATCATCAACCCAGTCCCGAGGACTCCACCAAACACCTGACATCCCCAACAACTGGGCACTCCCATGTGAAGGGCATTAGCAGCTAATGGATGACTCCAGCCACCACAAGCAAGCGACTCACCCCAAAGACTACAAACTCGCCCACGAGGTCTGCTGCAGTCCACACTGCTTTGAGGTCTCCCAGAACTCAACCGCGAACTCTCATAGGAAGGACAAGCAGCTACCAGCTGACTCCAACAACAGCCACAAGTGGCTGACTCACCCCAAAGACTACAAGCTCGCCCACGAGGTCTGCTGCAGTCTCCACCGCCTTCTCCTCTATCAGCGGCTTGATGTCCACGTTCGTGCTGTAGCCGTACAGTCTGCGTTGCATCCCTACGTTGATCTTATGATAGCTCTGCACAATGAAACGAGGAGATGGGAATATGCAACTATTGAAAAACAAGCTGGGAGCAAGTGCAGAATCCGATCAACACAGGGAAGCATTGCTTGGCGAAGGAAGTTGTCAGGAATCAAAGAGCCACCATTTCAACCTTATGGGTAACCTCGAAATCAGCTTAAAGTCAAGGAAGGAATGCGCCAAACTGGAACAAATACCGACCTGAGCGAAGTTGATGATGGTTCCCCGGAATTTGGGATGGCTCTTGGCTCTCCGCTTTATCGCATTGGCTAGAGGCTTGCTCATAGTTTTGACCGCCAATGCGCCGAGCTTGAGGATCGGGAAAACCATCTTGATTAATCTCTAGGAGGGTTCCCCAACTATAGGTTATGAGCTCAATTGCTGACGATACTTCAGTCGAGGAGATAGGAAACTAATACTATCACTGTTCTGCCAGGAAACTGCTTAGACTAAGGTTGCTGGTGAAAGGACCCACAGTTCTCATGAAACTAACGACAACGGCTCGTAGACTGAAGAAGGCGAATGCGCTAAGATTAAACGTCAGGTGAGAAGCAGGTTCCATGATCGCCTCTCACGTCGCCTCATAGTGGCTCTGCTCGACAACGACCCAGAACATAATAACTCTGCTACCTCTAACAGCGGATGCCCTTAACACTAGCCCACAGGCGATACACCAGATCTATCGTTGGAGACACGCTTCTTCGTCTCAAGAGCTCCCAGGTAGCAGAAGTAGAGTAACGCGCTTCGATACCCTTTGTATCCTGCCTAGAATCAAGAGTCGCCTTGTTATGCAAGCTGTTCAACCTGTGTCTGATTGCTTCAAGCTACTTGGCCACTATGAAGCTGACGGGCGAAGTTGCTGAAACTTATCAGCGATCAGCCATGGTTTCCATCTATGTATCCGCAAATCTGAGTTTCCCCTAGAGTGTTCATCCACTGATCGTTCCGTGCGGTTCAGAAGTCTTCTGCCCAGTGAATGGTAGATCCTTACTCCCACCGTTTTGAAATGCCAATCACCATGCAAAACCGTGGTGTACATGAATGGTACACTTCTCTGAATGCGCGCACGCAACCGCCACCGACTCATAGGCAGCCAACCATTCCCATGTGACGTCATTCTAGGCTCGTTTGGCTGGGCCCTCTTGTGCGCCTCCCGTTGTCCAATTAGATGACTCTCTGAACTGTAGGTTCGGCTGAAGCAAGTTCAGCCGTGCCAAAAGGCGTCGAGCAACTGTGAAACTGACAGAAGGCCAGAGCAGATTTCCAAGCCTGGTTACCAAAAGCCAGGCTCAGAAACCAGCTTGGGGGCCAATCGCAGATGCTTCGGGATATGCTTCTGGAGACACGCAACAGCCGAACCAGAGCCAGATTCAGCACGAATCCACCGCCTAAAAGCAGACTCGGTGCCAAGTATCAGTCGGCAGTGGCTACAACTCCACACAAATTTGTTCTGAAGCAAAAACTGCACTTCAGATTGTTTGGTGCACTCCAGATGCAATTTCAAGGGTGATCGTCCATCACATTCTCGTCAAGCCTCCTTCACATTCTGTTCGGTTTCTAAAAAAATCACCTCACACGCCCGCCGTCGCCGCCATTGTTTTGCAAAACGCGTCGCGGCCATGGGATCCGATAAACCGCAGCCGGCGCTTCAGGTGCGTATCTCCGTACCTTTCTTGCAGAATCATTCTGTCCGTTGGACGGTTCCCGCATGTTGCGACTTATCGCATTTGACCTACTCTCTGTCCTGACTTCACCCACTACGACGTAGCGGATCGGTTCAACGCCTCAATACCCCTCGCAACCACTGCGAATCTCCCACCTGCTCCCCTCGCCCCACCTGTTTTATTTCGCCCCACGCACTACCCTCGCCCCACACGCTCCCATGCATCCGTTAACGGACTCGTTGTACGAATAATGCTCGGACGAGGAATATCGCGCCTCAACATTTAACCTGCAATGTTTCACTGCCCTTTTCGCCCTTTTCCCCAACCACTGCCCATTCCCCACCCACCCAGCCCGCCCCACCCGCTGCCATCATGCATCAGGTGACGGACCCACCCGACCAGTTCAGTGCGGAAGATGCTCGCAGGGGAGACGTCACGCCGCAACACTGCACCTGTCGATTTATCCCTACCCATTCCCCTTCCCATACCCCCTCGCCGCCCCACCCACGGCCATGCATCAGGTGTCAGAGGAAACCACACGCCCCAATGCTTCAATCAAGCAGCGTTGTTTGTTTCTCAACCACTGCCCATTCCTCCTCATTCGCCCTCGCCCCACCTCAGGTGACGGACCGGTTTGTGCGGAAGATGCTCGCAGAGGAAGCGAGCGAGAAGGAGCGGAAACGAGCTGGAAAGAAAGGGAAGGGCAGGGGGGGGCGCGGGGAGCATGGCAGAAATCAAGCGGGAGGAGGAATGACAGGTGGAGGCAGCGTTTCGTCTGCACTGCTGCATGCTCCCCCGCCGCTTCCTCCCAGCCTGAATCCACTGTTTTTCGGCTCTGCTGTGGCTGCTTCTGCGGTAGCCGATTCGGCTGTTGCTGCTGATTCTGGTGGTGTTGCTGCCTCTGGAGTGGGGTTTGCAGCAGAGGCAGAGGCGGCGTACAGAGTGCAGCGGAGAAAGGAAGAGCTGGCGGACTTGGAGAAGACTCTGGAGCAAGTGGTAAGCGGTGTGGGATGTGTGGGATATGTGTGAACTAAGGTGAAACTGTACAGGCGTGCTGTGAGGCATACAGGGTGCAGCGAAGAAACGAAGAGCTGGCGGACTTGGAGAAGACTCTGGAGCAAGTGGTGGGTGGTGTGGGAGTTGTGTGAACCACACTGTAGGACTGCTGTGATTTGGGTGATCTGACATTGTGTGCTCTCCTGACATCTCTTTTGTGACCTTCCGTTGTTCAATGCCCTTCCCTGTTTGTTTGTGTGTGTGAGTGTGTGTGTGTTTTTTTTGTTTTTTTTTTTTTTTGGTTCCTCCTTTCCCACATTCATACTTCACCAGAAGTCTCTACGGGCCGACATTGCTCGTGAGCGGCAGGAGGAGGCTGCCCGTGCCACCAACATGGCGCAAGCACTGCAGGCACAGCAGTTCAGGTAAAAGCAACTTAAGAGCGTGTTCCTACGGCCTCATATCAGGCCACTTCGTATCAAGATTGTACTTTTTGCCTGGTAAAACTAGCGAGAGGTGTTGGGTTTAGGGAATTTTCAGTGTGAGCCTGATACGAGGTTCGCTTGATACGAGGTGTAGGAACACGCTCTAATTCTATGATTTTTTTGTTGGGCGTATTTGAGGCTCTGATGCTCATGGCTGAAAGCAGGCAAGGAGTTCCAGCCTTCCCCGCACTTCAGCTACTGAAGTTCATTCCGCAATCCCACTTCCACCTTTCCAAAGCAGACCGCCGTCTCGGGAAGTGCCGTGCCAAGCTGAGAGGGAGGAATGCCTAAGATGCTACACTCAAAACATGAAGGTTTGATGACAAAATTTGTTGTTCTGTACAAACATTTGACCAAGTTTCACGAGCCTGTTTTTTAGGTCGTTCAAGATTTGGCATTTGGATTGAACCACTCTGCTCGAGTTGACTGTGCATTTGCCTGTGTTTCCAGGATCCGCTTTCTTGTTCAAGTGTTGTGAACAAGTTCGTCGAGTGTTCACGGCAAGCTCAACAGGTACATCAAGTTGAATCAACGTGTTCGTTTTTTCCTCTGATGATTTGCCTGCTTTCACTTTCCAGTCCTCATGTTGTCACTAACCAGTGTCCGTCTGTTGGCGTGCATTTTCGTGTTATAATATGCAGGCATTCTTGGCTTCTGAAGGGAGACAATAGAAGTTGTTACTGTATGGAACAAACACATGGAGTTACTTAATAAGCTCCTCAAGGGTCGCCTATATACACTTTTCATTATGCTTCCGCTCGTCTAGTTTGCTGCGCCTCGCTGTATCGAGTTCTGTACCGAGCTTCGGTTGAAAGAACCAGTGGGCTTTCGATTTGTGGTGGGGGGCGACGCAGTACTATTGGCTGAGCTTGTGGCGGGACTTGACGACACGTGTGATCGTAAGCCAGCAGTTACCACCGCAGATGCCGGTGCAGGTTCACAAACCTCAGATCGACGCTTCAGGATTTGACACATAGGCACTAATTTGTTTTCGCAAATTCTCCCCTCAGCCCGAATGTGCGGTTGGGTATTCAGCGAATATGCGGGCCATGCGCGGCGCGGCGTGGTGCATTTCCGTCCATAGGGGACGAGCCAGGAGTCAGGTGTCACGACTCAGAGTACTGGACTGGACAGATGCAATGTGACGAGGAGGGGCAGGAATACGAGCCACAGCCGCAGCTAGCGCTTGGGAGTCTCCCAGAAGTCACCACCGCCACACCATTCCCAGAAGCATTCACGAAACAAATTGGATAAAGAAGCGTTGCTTTCAGCTGCCACACATACCACAACCGCGACCCCTGCATTTTTGTCTCAAATCGCTCTACAGGCATCACTGCTGGTTGTTGAAAAGGTCATAACTCAACTGCTGCTAGTCTAATTTGTCGAATTATCTTTCGAAGTCTTAGCACAGCCTCGGGTGGATTCGGGCTTCACCGCTATCATGGCGCCCTCGATTGCCCTACACCACGGCCTTCGCCTGTGCTCGAAATCGACACCCACCAGAAGGCTCTCCTCCGCGCCGTGCCCCGCAACTCTCCGCGTCCGCGCAAACCTCCCCCCACGCGATGTCCGCGCAAGCGCGTCCCCGCGCGTCGTCTCGAACGCACTCACGGCGCTTGAAGCACCCGTCAGCGCTTCGCCTGCAGCCGGAACTGCGGCGGCGATTAACTCCGTGGTGCAGAAGATGGAAACGATGGGGTTGACGGATACGAGCCTCGTCTCAACCAATGAGCACAGAGCGTGGGTGGCATCTGCCTGCGTGGCCCTCGGCGCACTGTTCGCTCGCGGCGTGGTCACCACAGTGGACGATGCGAGTGTTACAGCCGTGCTGGGTGCAGTTGCGTCGGCCGCTGGGTCGTATTTACTTGCTGATTTTGGAACGGGCGTGTATCATTTTGGAGTGGATAACTACGGGGACAGTTCGACGCCGATTTTCGGGCCTCAAATCGACGCGTTTCAGGGCCATCACAAGCGGCCGTGGACGATCACCAAGCGACAGTTCGCGAACAATCTGCACGCGCTCGCGAAGCCGATTCTTTTCTCCACGCTGCCATTCATTTTCGTGCTCCCGCATTCGGCCGAGCAAGATATATTCTTTAGTGTCTTCCTCGCCTCCGTTATGTTCAGCCAGCTTTTCCACGCCTGGTCCCACACGCCCCGCGTCCTCCTCCCTCCATTCGTCCCCATTCTCCAAGACGCCGGCCTCTTAGTTTCCAGAAAAATGCACGGCGCGCACCACCGTCCTCCTTATAACGCCAATTACTGCATCGTCAGTGGAGCGTGCAACCCCCTTCTCGATTCTATTGGTTTCTTCTCCGGCCTGGAAAAGTTCATCTTTCAAACGACCGGGGTTCCTTCCAGGTCTTGGAGTGAGACTGCACCTGAATGGCTGGAAGAGGGTGGGTACTACGAGGATGGGTCAGATGAGCAGTGAGCTTGTTCATCCCCCTAGTTCCTTCAGATTTCCTTATTTGTAATTAATTCTTTGAATAAAATCTAATATATTGTTCCAGATTTAATGGACTTCTACTCCAAGCAATGCATTCAAGCAATGCAGTCCCATCAATATTGGTTGCGAACGGATGACATCACAGACATGCTAGGACGCCCTTCACTAGCAATAAATTTCACCTTTGTGAAACAGAGCAGGTGTTCGGGAATTATGCTGTTGCGGTTGTTGACGAAATGGACGAAACTGGTGGTCTGTGTTTGAGACATGGCGTGACTGTACCTCGCTAGGCTATTATGAAGGGCGGGTAACCACACACGTCGTTGTTGATTACAGTTCACGTTGAATCCAAATGCGCGAACCTCAGTTCTCGGGCCTAGCTTGCATAACCTTCGCATTTCGCCAACCATTTCGTCGCTCGAATCAGTGCGGACCACCAGATGAACCAGCATTTCACCTACGTGGAGCCTCCAAGTACCAGCGGTTTACACCAGTTTACCTCGCTCCACGTGTCTCCTCTCACAACCAGGATCGAACAATCTGCGAGACCCCCCTGTGCCATGATGGACGGGCACCAGAGAACTCCAATGTCCTAGTCAGCATTCCCGTCAAGTAGTAGAGCATCCCCCTTCCTAGAAACTTGAACATCGATTCGTCAGATCCCGACAGCTCAGCACCTCAAATAATCCACCAATCATTCTCCTATCTTGCATTCCCTCCCCCCTTCCAATTCTGACCTCTGCATCTGCACATCACCAATTTCCCAGCCCAGTGTCAGCCACCACCAGAGCAACAAAAAAATTCAGACCTTGGAATTGCATGCATTGCTTGTGTAAATGCTTACTGACCGTTTCTATTCTCTCTAACATTTCCATTTGGTCAGGGCCTTTGTCTTGCGCCTTTTCTCTGTGATATTCAACTCTGTACGAGCTCGTCGTAAGAGCCCATTTGCCTGGCCATTGTCTTGCCATGGCGTCCCTCACTGCCCATGCCGCTGCTTCCGTCGCCTCATACGCCTCGGCGTCGCGCACGGCTGCCACGTCAGCAGCCGCGCAGCAGACAACCATGTCCTGCTCACTCCGCACCCTCCCCTCCTCCATGTCCACGTCATCAGCCGCTTCCAGCTCAGCCACCCCATTCTTCCAGGGCGCTCGCCTCCCCTCTCTGAAAGCCACCACACGCGCCGCCGCAACTCCCGCCTCCAAATCCGGCGCCGTGCAGGTCCGCGCAGGGGAGATTATCGAGGTGGAGCTGGAGCGGCCGTACGGCCTCAAATTCTACCGCGGGGAGGACGGCGCGATCTACATCGACGCGCTGTACCCCGGGCAATCCGGGTTATTGAGCAAGCAGATCCAGGAGGGCGACAAGGTGCTGGCGACGAGCGCCGTGTTCGGCGGCGAGATGTGGCCCGCTGCGGAGTACAGCCGCGTCATGTACACCGTCAGGCAGCGCGTCGGCACGCTTCTCGTCCGCCTCGAGAAAATGGGAGGTGAGGTTCCGATCAATTCCGCCGTTTTCGTACTGGCTGTTTGGCGGTACGTCATGCGTCATCAGGTTTTAAGGATTGGACTTTAAATAGTGAGCCTAAAACTGCAATTAGACTGTACTGTGTGCAGCGACGATAGTCAATGAGATGTTATCACAGCCTAATCTTTATTCTTACATCCATGTATGTTCACTTGGACTTTTCTTGCTCTCTTACCGCAGGGCAAAAGATTGGTCCGTGGAAGAAGGATAAGTACCTGGAGGAGCGAGCGGCCGGCAACTACGGCGACGCCATCCGCGAGAAGCAGATGGAGAATGCGGCGCTCCGACAAGAGCAGGCCGAAGAACGCGTCGCTGCTCTCGACAAAGGTCTCCAGCTCTACAAGTAAGCCTTAAACAGCAATGCATGATCCTCCTTATGTTTCGGATTCCATCCTGGGCATGTTGACATGAACCACTTCCTTCTGCACCAACCCCAGTCGGCATCTTCGACAAACCTGGGTTGAGAAAATTCGCTGGGCTCAATCGTGTCTCGAAATCTTGTGTTTGGTTATGCCACGTGGCAGGGCGGGCAAGTACGAGGAGGCGATGCAGAAGTTTCAGACGATTATCGGGCTGGTGCCGTCGTACCGGGAGGAGGCTGTGGCATTCTACAACATCGCCTGCTGCTGCTCCAAGCTCAAAAAGGTGAGGCTCCTGGGGTTAGGCTCCTTGGGAGGTATTTCCTCCTCCGTGGTATTGCTCCGAGCTTGAGTGAGGGTCCTTGGGTGTTTTTTTTGGTTGTTTGTGTCCGTGATGCGTTGATTCTCAAACTGGTAGTATCACGTCGTCGCGATTAGAAATGTAAACGAGCAGAAACGATGCCATGCCGATGCAGCCGCGACTAACTCGTAAAGTGGGAAAAGTATGTGCTGTGCTTTCGTAGCAAAGGTTTTGATTGAAGAACCTTTGCCTGCGCGAAGTTATTGCGCAGCAATGGAGGTGCATTGCAGGTTGCTACAGATGCTCTTCTGACTATAGAACTGCGTTATCCATAACCGGAATCACTGGTACATCAAGCTGACAACAGTGCGATGGAATCAGCGACTCACATTGAACTTCTGACGTCTCCCTATACACTCGACCACTTAGATCCCTACTACCCCGCTCTTCTCGGCTCATCCTTTCGCCTTGGTGTCATCTATTCCCCTTCCCTGGCTGCAGGTTGAGGGCGGCCTGCAGGCTCTAGAGGCGGCCATGGAGGCAGGCTTCGATGACTACAAGGTGAGACGCCGAGATAAGATATTGGCAAGAGTGTGAGGTCATGTATGAGAGAAAAAATAAAAAATTGATGGGTGTAGGGCCTGGGATAACACAGCATCGTTCCACTTCGGGATTTTCAAGCTCTTGTTAGAGTGGTAATGGAAGCTGCCAAACTGCATGCTGCAGTGTGGCTGCTTGGGCGTGGAACCATAATTGTTTTTGCACTGCTATTCGATCTGAGCCTTAAATCTCATTTTCCTACCTTTTCCTACCTTTTGTTTCCACGTTAATTGCAGAAAATCCGTCAAGACCCTGACCTGTCCTTCGTAAGAGACGATGATGAGTTCGATGAGCTCATGGACAGGTATGATGAGCCAATCATCAACGAGAATGCCATTAAGGCACTCACCAGTGTGTTCGGATTCTTTGGCAAGAAATAGAGGCCATGCGCTGTATGATAAAATAGGATTGCTTTGTTTTATGTTCCTAGTTCAACAATAAAGAATATGTTCCTGCTGTCAACAGCATGATACTGGAATTGGTTGATTGTACTGTTGAGGAGCTCCAACTTTGAAGTAATTTATGCTAGGAACCTGGTTCCTCTCTGGTCAGAGAGTGCACAGTATCACCACACTACCCAACCCTTACTGAATCCACGTACACAATGCACTATCAGCTGTATGCACAAGTACCTGCTGCATTTTTCAGTGGAGTAAGCACTAGAGCTAGCACCAGCATGCACATCCACATGGCTGTCCCTTCTTGCTGTCAGAAGAAAAGGACGTATTTCAAAATTTAAAAAGAACCACCACCCAGAATCAGACGAATGTGAAGGTTAGCATAGCACCCAAAATAAACCCAGGATATAATAGATGTAAAAAGAATGAAAACCAGCCCCCACAACTATGCTAAAGAACATGACTGATGTGCAGTGATTGGAGAACTCTAATACACTTCAAACAATATTTTAGGCCCTTGTAACATTTTCCGGGTATCCTTGAAATTACAACGAGTCACACTATTGGCAGCAATTCGCACCCTTGCACAGAACATGGATCACCTCAGATCAGTGGCATTCGCGCACGCCGCTAAACTGGTCTCAGCCTAGTTAGCTGAGCTCAGGGCCAGATCACCCCAAACCACGTCAGACCAGGCAAGAGCAGCCATCCCCTTCTTATGCGCGTAGTTCCTTCGGGCCCTTTCGCTTACTTGTGCTGCTTTTAGTCTCAGCGCTCGTCGCATCTGTACTTGATACCCAATCCACGTAGAACCAGCTATCAGAATGTATCCGTCAGGATCGGCCGGGACGTTAGCGGTTGCTGTCACGACTGCCGGCGCCGCAGCGGCAGCCGTGATCGCGTGCCGTCTACTCTTCTCCCCCGCACCAGCAGCAGCCGCAGAAGCAGCAGCAGAAGCAGAAGTAACTACATCAAATGCCCACACAGATTCCGGCACTGAGAATGTGGTATCTAGAATACCGGATTCGTCAGATACCTCTTTAAATGCCGCCTTGAAGTGGCTAGCATCCGCGGCGCGCGGGATTAAAGACCATGCGGAGCGGCTCGTCAGACGCGTTAAAGCCGAAGCTGATGCTTCCGATTCGGGATATTTCGATTCGATAGAATCTTATTTACCCCAAGGGTACAGCCTAGCCGGAAAATCAGCCACCGCTGCCGCGATTGCCGCTGCAGCGGCGGTTGCGGTGGGCGGGACGGCGCTCGCGATCCGGGCCGCGGTAGGCGCGTCGCGAAGGAAACGGCGGCGCCGCGTGATCGGAATCATCCCCGCGCGATTCGCGTCGTCGCGGTTCGTGGGGAAGCCGCTAGCGCTGATTGCGGGGCGACCCATGATCCAGGTAGAGGGATATCAAGGGAGGGGGGAAGGGGGAGCGGGGGGAGCAGGGAGAGCGGGGAGAACGGGGGAGAGGAGGAGAGGGGGAGAGGGGGGAGAGGGGGAAGGGGTGTGAGGGGAAGAGGGGCAGAGAAGGTAAGGGAGAGGGGAAAGAATGGGAGATGGGGAGGGGGGAAGAGCGGAGAGGGGTGAGTGGGTCCTCCCATTACCACCAACCACTTCTCTCCCTGCGTAGTTTTCACTCTACTTAAACCCTCACCCCTTTCCCTCCCCTTACCCTTCAGCCCCCATTGCCCCCCTCATCTATCATCACTCACACTCTCCCTACTGTCCTCATATTTCCCTCCCTTTCTCCTCTCTTCCACCCTGCCCGCTTCACCCTTCCCTTTTTAACAGAGTCCCGTTTCTCGTCTCACCCTTCCCTCGACACCCACCCCTCTCCTTTCCCTTTTCCCCATGCTGCTGCCCACAGCACACGTGGGAACGTGCAAAGCTCGCTCAAACGCTCGATCGAGTGGGTACGTGGGAGAGGGGGGAGGAGAGAGGGAGCGAGGGAGGGGAGGGGAAAGGAGGGAGGAAAGTAAAGAAGAGGGAAAGGCGGAGGATGGGGAAAGGGAGGGGAGGAAAGGGGAGGGGAGGAAAGGGGAGGGGAGGAAAGGGGAGGGGAGGAAAGGGGAGGGGAGGAAAGGGGAGGGGAGGAAAGGGGAGGGGAGGAAAGGGCAGGGGAGGAAAGGGCAGGGGAGGAAAGGGCAGGGGAGGAAAGGGCAGGGGAGGAAAGGGCAGGGGAGGAAAGGGCAGGGGAGGAAAGGGCAGGGGAGGAAAGGGCAGGGGAGGAAAGGGCAGGGGAGGAAAGGGCAGGGAAGGAAAGGGCAGGGGAGGAAAGGGCAGGGGAGGAAAGGGCAGGGGAGGAAAGGGCAGGGGAGGAAAGGGCAGGGGAGGAAATGGCAGGGGAGGAAAGGGCAGGGGAGGAAAGGGCAGGGGAGGAAAGGGCAGGGGAGGAAAGGGCAGGGGAGGAAAGGGCAGGGGAGGAAGGCATGGCAAGAGCATTGAGGGGCGCTCTCAGCTGGTGCCACCCCCCTTCCCTTCTCTCCTCGGTTCCTCAGCTGCTTGCATGCCCGTATGGCCTCGCTCCCTGCACTCCATGCCTGCACTCGTCCTCCTGCTCCTCGCCTCACTCCCCCTGCTTCTCCCCTCACTCTTTCTCTACCCTCCCGTTGCAGTGGTCGCATCGGGCGACGAGAGGATTGCCAGCTGCTGCCAGGGGTTGGCCACTGCGAATACTCAAAAGTGCTTTTGAGAATTCTCAAAAGCCCCCTACAATCTCGTATCCACCCACTCTTCCTTCTCTCCCCCTCCCCGCTACGCTCCCTTCCACTGCAGTGGTCGCAACGGACGATGAGAGAATTGCCAGCTGCTGCCAGGGGTTCGGCGCTGAGGTCATCATGACGTCAGCAGCTTGCGGCAATGGTAAGGCTGAGCGTGGGAGCATGGGAGAAATATGGGTGTATCATGTATTATCATTGGGTGGATGTTATGGTTGATGTATTGTCCAATCGCAATTATACGAATGCAGCAACGCATGAACACTCAAGGATTCCGCCTCCCACTCTCCCGAACCAACCCGGCAGGTTCGGAGCGGTGTGCCGAGGCAGTGGAGTCTCTCAAGGGGCAGTGGGACGTGGTGGTGAACATTCAAGGCGACGAGCCACTCATCGACCCGGCTACCATAGATGCCGTTGTGATTGCATTGCAGGTAACACAACTCACGATGCCGCTCCTTTTCCTCAATCTTAACTCTATTGGCCCAGCCTTTGCACCCATTGCCTTCCATTGGTAATGGGGGGTATGATACATGTCTTCCCAATCATAATCCAGCCCAGCCATGTTCTTCTGATTACTTCACAGGAAGCACCCGAGACGGTGGCAGCAACAGATGAGAGCACCCAGACCACCATCACACCACACACGTGTTCCCGCATTCATTCACCAAACCATCTTCATACCTACATCTGAATTCACAGGAAGCACCCGAGGCGGTGGCAGCGACAGCAGTGGCAGACATAAAAGCATCGGCAGCACCAGACCCGAACCGAGTCAAGTGTGTTGTGGACAGCAGAGGCTTTGCACTCTACTTCTCACGGGCGCTCATTCCCCACAACAGGTGAGCTGTCAACCACACGTTTGTGCTTCAAAAGCAAACCCTAAAAACGACCTTGTTTCACGCTTGTTCCTCCGTCTGTTTTGCATTCCCATTCAAGCCCTTCCATGGATGCTCTTAAACTGGTCTGGATATGGACATGCCAGTGTACCCCTTGATACCCCGGTGTATCCCAGTGTACCACATTGTATGCGGTTTCGATGTAGGATTCTAAAGAACTGCCTCCGGGAGGGTGCATGTTCGAGCATTTGCACAAGACCGTCCATTGTGTGTATCCCTTTCGTTTGAGGTTTCCATTGTCCGTTTGAGAATTCTCAAAATCAATCTCATTTGCACAAGACCGTCCATTGTGTGTATCCCTTTCGTTTGAGGTTTCCATTGTCCGTTTGAGAATTCTCAAAATCAACCTCATTTGCACAAGACCGTCCATTGTGTGTATCCCTTTCCCAACTGCTCTGCCGCTGCAATTGCAGGGACGGAGTGCCTCATCCCGGCTTCCCATACATGCTGCACCTGGGCCTACAGGTACTCTATCCTCCCTGGTCGTTTTTCCCCTATCCCCCCTTCCTTCTCTCTCCCCTCTCCCCTCCCCCCCCCCCCCCCCCCCCCCCCCCCCCCCCCCCCACACCTTCTCTCGTTTCCCATACATGCTGCACCTGGGCCTACAGGTACTCTATCCTCCCCCTCTCCTCTCCCTCCGCTTCCCCTCCCCCTTCACATGGTGCGGGAAGCCTGACTTGTATTGATGAAGCAGGGTGTTTTTGAGAATTCTCAAAAACACCCTGCAATCTCTCCCTTCACTTCACATGGTGCGGGAAGCCTGACTTGTATTGTGGTCTTGTCCCACCCAACCCAAGGGCATTTACCTCCTCTCTGCATGCATACTCCCCCCTCCCTAGTGCACGTCTCTCCACCCTCTCCTACCTACTGCATGCATGCAGTTTCCTCGTCCCCATCACTCTCAGGAACTTAGTTCCCGTCCAAACCCACGTGTTTCTGATGCTGTAAGGCCTTATTCCTACGGCCGCCCCTCGTCTCCGAATCCAACGCCCCCATCCACTCGTCTCCCCCTGTCTGCATGCATGCATACGATGCGGCCTTGAGGTGACTTTTGAGTCGACTCAAAAGTCACCCCCAACCTCTCCCCTCCCCCTGTCGGCATGTGTACATGCAGGCTTACGATGCGGCCTTTCTAGCACGCAACAGGGCAAGTGAGCCAGGGAGACTGGAGTCTCCTTAAAACTTGTGAACCCCCTTATTACACGCCCTGCACACAGGCTTACGAGCGGCCTTTCTAGCACGCTACAGGGAAAGTGAGCCGGGGAGACAGGAGTCTGCTTGAAGCCTGTGAACCCCCTTCTTACGCGCCCTACACACAGGCATATGATGCGGCCTTCCTAGCACAGTACAGGGCGAGTGAGCCGGGGAGGCTGGAGGAGGAGGAGCAGCTGGAGCAGCTGCGGATACTGGAGCAGGGATGCAAGGTTAAGGTGGGTTGTCATGAGTTGACGGTGGGTTGTGGGTTGTGGGTGGGTGAAAATATGCAGCTACCAGCAGGAGCAGCTGCTGATACTGGAGTAGGAATGCAAGGTCAAGTTGGGTGACGTCTGGTGGGTTTGATGTGGGGTGATTATGTATACCAGGGCAGCTGAAGGCAGGTGTGTGTGTGTGTGTGTGTGTGCAGGTGGTGAAGGTGGCAGAATAGGCTATGCAGTGGACGTGCCTTGATGGCCCAGCACCCATTCCCCTTCCCTATCCTCACTTCTCCTGTGCTTGCATGCCACTGCATGCCCGTGTGCCTGTGCAGGTGGTGAAGGTGGCGCATTCAGCCAATGGGGTGGACGTGCCTTGATGTCTAAGCACCCAATGTCCATCCCTTCCGACGCCTGTGCTTGCATGCCCCTGCATGCACATGTGCCTGCACGACTGTGTGTTTGTGCAGGTGGTGAAGGTGGCGCATTCAGCGCACGGGGTGGACGTGCCTGCTGACGTCAAGAGGATCGAAGACCTGCTGCTGAGAGGCGGGCGATGAGACGAGGGGGCGACAATGAGAGGAGGGCAATGAGAGGAGGGAGATGAGAGGAGGGCGATGAGAGGAGGGCGATGAGAGGAGGGTGATGAGAGGAGGGCAAGAGAGGAGGGCGGTGATGCACACAGGAATCACCCTTTCTCCCTGATGAATCGCCTAGTTTCTGGACATAGCTGGCTTTGCCCTACTTCCATCATTTCTTAGTTTCTGGACATAGCTGGCCTTGCCCTACTTCCATCATTTCTTAGTTTCTGGACATGAACTGGCCACAAAAGCATTTTTGAGGAAATGAGCTGTCACGGTGGCTCTGGTTTGCCACTAATTCAAGCATGCTCTTTTGGACTAGGCTCACAGTCGGCTCAATTCCAAGCATTAGTGAGGCCAAAATTATTGATACACGTTTCATCCTGAACAACTTACATCATTACCGGTCGACCAATGGGGTCAAGAGGTGAATAGCTCGGTCAAGAGGTTCATGGCTTGGCCATGGGGTTAGTCGATCAGCCATGGTGATAATATCTTTGCCAAGCCGTTGGTTCAACTCAGCCGTGGGGTCAGTAGCTCGGCCATAGCACGGCTATTGCGATCATGACTCGGCAATAAGGTCAGTGGCTCGGCCATAGCACGGCTATTGCGATCATGACTCGGCAATAAGGTCAGTGGCTCGGCCATAGCTCGGCTATTGCGATCATGACTCGGCAATAAGGTCAGTGGCTCGGCCATAGCTCGGCTATTGCGATCATGACTCGGCAATAAGGTCAGTGGCTCGGCCATAGCTCGGCTATTGCGATCATGACCCGGCAATAAGGTCAGTGGCTCGGCCATAGCTCGGCTATTGGGTTCATGGCTCGGCTATGAGGTCAGTAGCTCGGCTATTGGGTTCATGGCTCGGCTATGAGGTCAGTAGCTCGGCTATTGGGCTCGCGGTGCAGCGTATGTGCGTGCGGTGCAGCGTATGTGCATGCGGTGCAGCGTATGTGGGTGCGGTGCAGCGTATGTGCGTGCGGTGCAGCGTATGTGCGTGCGGTGCAGTGTAGGTGCGTGCGGTGCAGCGTATGTGCGTGCGGTGCAGCGTATGTGCGTGCGGTGCAGCGTATGTGCGTGCGGTGCAGCGTATGTGCGTGCGGTGCAGCGTATGTGCGTGCGGTGCAGCGTATGTGCGTGCGGTGCAGCGTAGGTGCGTGCGGTGCAGCGTATGGGGGTGCGGTGCAGCGTATGTGCTTGCGGTGCAGCGTATGTGCGTGCGGTGCAGCGTATGTGCGTGTGGTGCAGCGTATGTGCGTGCGGTGCAGCGTAGGTGCGTGCGGTGCAGCGTATGTGCGTGCGGTGCAGCGTAGGTGCGTGCGGTGCAGCGTATGTGCGTGCGGTGCAGCGTATGTGCGTGCGGTGCAGCGTATGTGCGTGCGGTGCAGCGTATGTGGGTGCGGTGCAGCGTAGGTGCTTGCGGTGCAGCGTATGTGCTTGCGGTGCAGCGTATGTGCGTGCGGTGCAGCGTATGTGGGTGCGGTGCAGCGTAGGTGCTTGCGGTGCAGCGTAGGTGCTTGCGGTGCAGCGTATGTGTGTGCGGTGCAGCGTAGGTGCGTGCGGTGCAGCATATGTGGGTGCGGTGCAGCGTAGGTGCTTGCGGTGCAGCGTAGGTGCTTGCGGTGCAGCGTATGTGCGTGCGGTGCAGCGTATGTGCGTGCGGTGCAGCGTATGTGCGTGCGGTGCAGCGTAGGTGCGTGCGGTGCAGCGAATGGGGGTGCGGTGCAGCGTAGGTGCTTGCGGTGCAGCGTAGGTGCTTGCGGTGCAGTGTATGTGCGTGCGGTGCAGCGTAGGTGCGTGCGGTGCAGCGTATGTGGGTGCGGTGCAGCGTAGGTGCGTGCGGTGCAGCGTAGGTGCTTGCGGTGCAGCGTATGTGCGTGCGGTGCAGCGTATGTGCGTGCGGTGCAGCGTATGTGCGTGCGGTGCAGCGTAGGTGCGTGCGGTGCAGCGTATGTGGGTGCGGTGCAGCGTAGGTGCTTGCGGTGCAGCGTAGGTGCTTGCGGTGCAGCGTATGTGCGTGCGGTGCAGCGTAGGTGCGTGCGGTGCAGCGTATGTGGGTGCGGTGCAGCGTAGGTGCGTGCGGTGCAGCGTAGGTGCGTGCGGTGCAGCGTATGTGGGTGCGGTGCAGCGTAGGTGCTTGCGGTGCAGCGTAGGTGCTTGCGGTGCAGCGTAGGTGCTTGAGGTGCAGCGTATGTGCGTGCGGTGCAGCGTAGGTGCGTGCGGTGCAGCGTAGGTGCGTGCGGTGCAGCGTAGGTGCGTGCGGTGCAGCGTATGTGCGTGCGGTGCAGCGTATGGGGCTCAGCCATGGGGTCAATAGCTCAGAGAAGAGAAACATCTTACCGCATTATGTCGCTCTCCTTCCTCAGTTCTGTTGCAGCTCCTCATGCGCCCTCCTCTGCTCCTGATCACCTGAGAGTGACAATTGGATGGGAGAGACTCATTGAAGTGAGCGGGAGGGAAGGGAATGTAGAGTGTCGAAGGCAAAGTAAACAAGAGGGCAGAGTAGCGGACACGGAAAACAGATCTCGCTTGTGTCGCTCTCTTCCATCAGTTCTGTTGTTGCTCCTCCTCTGCTCCCAATCATCGTGAAGGAAACGTTGCATTTCAAGGCAGCATAAACAAGAGTGAGGACGGAAAAGACATCTTACCTCCTGCGACCTCCTCTGCTCCCGATCATCTGAGAGTGACAATTGCATGGGATGGGAAAGACACGTTGAAGTGAGAGAGGGAAGGAAATGTAGAGTTTCAAGGTGAAATAAACAAGAGGGCAGAATAGAGGACAGTAAACGAGATATCTTACCGCCTTGTGACGCTCTCCCCACTCGATTCTGCTGCTGCTCCTCCTCCTGCATCCTCCCCTGCTCCCGATCTCCTGAGAGTGACGGTTGCATTGGAGAGACACATTGAAGAGATTCGGAGGGAAGGAAAAGGGTTTGTCAGGAAAAAATAAAACAAGAGGGCGGAATAGAGGACATGGAGAAGAGTTACCTTACCTCTCTGTGCTGCTTCCTCCTCGCTTCTGCTGCTCCTCATCCTGCGCCCTACTCTGCTCCCGTTCACCTGAAAACATGGGAGGGAGACACACAAGTGAGTGAGAGGAAAGGAAAACTGTTGATTGGGAATACATGATCAACAGAAGGGCGAAATAGAGTACACGAGAACAGAGAATATTACCACGTTGTGTCGCAAGTGACCGAGGACCATAGCAAGTGACAAACATAGCATGTCAAAAGTGCTGGAACAGAGAACATTACCACATTGTGCCGCTTCCCCTCGTTTCTGCTGCTGCTTCCCTCCCTGCGTCCTCCTCTGCTCCCAATCACCTGATAAAGGACATGACCATGGTATAGGTAGAAGAAGATAAGGGCAAGAGCAGGCCAAGAGCATATAGTTTTGTCGAGATAAATCTGGGAGAGAAGGGCAATAGTGTTAAGACATGTCTGAGAGAACAGACAAAGATGTATCAAGCAGAGAGGTAAATATATCTGGCAGCGAAAGGTGACTCAAAAAAGAGCAGTAGCAGAGGTGGAAACGTGGACGGTGGCATACACGCAGAGGCATAGATCCAATCCAGCAGAAGTATCCTACCAGAGTGTAGGTGCGGCCAGGGAAGTGCTCCTCCTTCCCATCTCCCTTTCCCTCCCTTGATCTGGAAAAATAGGTGCGGTCAGGACAGTGCGGTGACATCCATGCAGTGCTCCTCCCTCCTCTGGGGATTTGGGGATTTGGGGATTTGCATGCACTCCCTTCAGTCTGGGGCAAAGTACTGGGTCTGGGAGAGAAGGCACGTAAAGGGAGAGGACGCAAGAAATGAGCCTAGCACGAGGATCGAGACCGTACCTACCAAGTGACAAACATAGCATGTCAAAAAACACAGTGAAGGAAACAACATACAAACAGAAGGAGAAAAGCCAGTCATGGAAATGGAAAGCAAAAAGGCCGTGAAGACAAGCGAAGGTGGAACAAGCAGAACAAGTGGAGCAAGTGAGAGGGTGAGAATCTTGAGCGACATAGATAACCGGGGAAAGAAGCGACGAGCAGCAAGCAGGGAGACTTACGTTACCCTGGCCTGTAGCCCCCTCTCTCGCCTCTTCTCAGTCAATGCCGCTGCTGTAAGAGGAGCAGAAGAGAGGAGGGCAGCAGAAGAGAGGAGGGCAACAGAAGAGAGGAGGGCAGCAGAAGAGAGGAGGGCAGCAGAAGAGAGGAGGGCAGCAGAAGAGAGGAGGACAGCAGAAGAGAGGAGGGCAGCAGAAGAGAGGAGGGCAGCAGAAGAGAGGAGGGCAGCAGAAGAGAGGAGGGCAGCAGAAGAGAGGAGGGCAGCAGAAGAGAGGAGGGCAGCAGAAGAGAGGAGGACAGCAGAAGAGAGGAGGGCAGCAGAAGAGAGGAGGGCAGCAGAAGAGAGGAGGACAGCAGAAGAGAGGAGGGCAGCAGAAGAGAGGAAGGGACCAGAAGAGAAGAGCGCAGCAGAACATGAGAGAATTAAAGTTGTTTATTCAAAGAAATGGTAGCAGAAGAATGTGCGATACGAGAGACGATTGATCACAGTATTACGGGGAAGAAGGACGAAAGGACAAGGGTGGAAGGCGCGGAGTGCAGGCGAAGCATTGTGATCAACCATCCCTCGCACTCCTAGCAGCAGCCCTCCCAGCAGCACAGGGACTCCCATCGGCGGTATTCCAAGCAAAGGCCCTCCCAGCAACAGAGAGCCTCCCATCGGCGGCACTCCCAGCAGCTTGTGACGGAGTGGCGAGTACATCCCTGCCGTGACGGAGTGACGGAGTCAGCAGGGTAGACCAATGCCTGCCGTGCGTCATCCCACTGCCCTCCCTCCTTCCCCTCTCCTCTCCCCTCCTGGCCTGCGACAGGGGAATGGATTGAGGAGAGAAGGCAGTGATTTGAACGAATCAAAGAGAAAGAGGAAGCATTCAATACAATGAATCTGCTGAAAAAAAGAAAAACAGAAAGGTGAAATAGTCAGACATCAGGCACTAGGGTAACGAAAGGCGATGGTAGGCATGGCACTAAGGCAGCGAGAGCTAGCAGCAAGGGTGGACTGGGGAAGAAAGGGGCGCGGGCATGAGTATGAATGCATTATACCCCCCTACGACTCTAGAATGAGCTCTGCCGCCCCAGTGCCATGCGCTACCATCGCCACGCGCTACCATCGCCATGCGCTACCATCGCCATGCGCTACCATCGCCATGCGCCTCATAAACCCCACATTCAACTTTTGACCCTTCCCACACGGATACGACGTTTTGGTTTTGAGAATGCACCGAGAGAGAGAAGAGAGCGGCAAGGAAATGAACAAAAGACAGGAAGGAATACGGATGGCAAGACAGTGTGGCTCTTAGGAGGGAACTTAGCGACGGAAGCAGCAGCAGTCTTTCCAAGCTGCATCAGGAGGCTGCTCCTCCCGTTGTGATCCGCGCAGCAGTTGGACTCCCATTGCCGGCACTCCAAGCCACCGCCCTCCCAGCAGCACAGAGACTCCCACCAGCAGCCCTCCTAGCAGCAGCGAGACTCCCACCAGCAGCGAGACTCCCACCAGCAGACCTCCCAGCAGCAACGAGACTCCCACCAGCAGCCCTCCCAGCAGCAGCGACACTACCATCGGCCGCACTCCCATCAGCAGAGAGACTCCCAGCAGCAGCCCTCCCAGCAGCAGCGAGACTCCCATCGGCGGCGCTCCCAGCTTCCCGTGACGGAGTGGCGTGGTCAGCAGGGCACACCCATGCCTGCCGTGCGTCATCCCACTGCCCTCCCTGCCTCCCCTCTCCTCTCCTGGCCTGCGACAAGGGAATGGATTGGGGAGCAAAGGGAGTGTTTTGAAGGAATCGAACAGAAAGAAGCAAGGAAGCAAGCAATACAATGAATCCGCAGAATAATAGAAAAACAGAAACGTGAAAAAGACAGACATCGGGCACTAGGGTAAAGAAAGGCGATGGTAGGCATGGCAGATGGGCAGCGAGAGGTAGCAGGAAAGGGTGGACTGGGTGAGAAAGGGACGCGGGCTATGAGTATGAATGCATTCTACCCCCTACAACTCTAGAATGAGCTCTGCCGCCCCAGTGCCATGCGCTACCATCGCCACGCGCCAGAAACCCCCAATTCAACTTCGTTCTCCTTCCCAAGCGCAAAAGAAGTTTTCGTGACAAGCATGCGGCACTGAGAAAACAACGCTTTACGAAAATGAATCAAAGACAGAAAGCGATAAGGATGGCAAGAGAGTGAGTAAGGGGGTTATAAGAGGAGACTTAGCAGCGGTACGACCGGTTGAGCGATGGAAGCAGCAGCAGTTGTTCCCCGCAGCAGCGTGACTCCCATCATCAACAGCACTCCCAGCAGCAGCCCTCCCAGCAGCAGCAGCAGCGCCAGTCGAGCTCATTTGGCGCGTGAGGGAGTGGGGTGGTCAGCAGGGCATGCAGGACCCAGGCCGTGCGTCATCCCACTGCCCTCCCTTTTGGCCTGGGACAAGGAAATAGTTGTGAGAGAAGGCAGAGGGGAAGGGAATTAGGAATCTGGTCCAGCGGAAGGAAACAAGGGAACAAGAAAGAGAACAATTATAAACACAAGCGTACAGTCTGTGAGAGAGAACGATACGAATAAAACAAACACAATGACAACACTTGGCACCAGGAAAACGAAAGGTGATGGTAGCACAAGGCACCAGGGCGGCGAGCTAGCACGCGAGGGTGGACTAGGGGGTAAGAGAGAGACGCGAGCATGAGTATGAATGCATTCTGGCCCCCTACGACTCTAGTATGAGCTCTGCCGCCCCAGTGCCATGCGCTACCATCGCCATGCGCCCGAGAACCCCCAACTCAACTTTTTGTCCCTCCCATGCGGAATTGAAGTTTTAGTTTCAAGCATGCAGTGAGCGTTACGAGAATGAAACAACGACAGAAAGCGATAACGATGGCAAGGGGGTGAGTGAAGGGGTGAAGGGGGGACTTAGCAGCGGTACGACGGGTTGAGCGACGGAAGCAGCAGCAGTTGTTCCCAGCAGCAGAGTGACTCCCATCACCATCCCAGCAGCAGCCGTCCCAGCAGCAGCAGCGCCAGTGGAGCTCGTTTGGCGCGTGAGGGAGTGGCGTGGTCAGCAGGGCATGCAGGACGCATGCCGTGTGTCATCCCACTGCCCTCCCTCACTTTTGGTCTGGGACAAGGAAATGGGTGGTGAGAGAAGGCAGAGGGGAACGGAGTTAAGAATCTGGTCCAGCAGAAGGAAGCATGGGAACAAGGAAAAGAACAAACATAAAAACGAGCGTACAGTCTGTGAGAGAGAACGATGCAAAAAAAAACAAAGAAAGCAACAACACTTGGCACCAGGAAAACGAAAGGTGATGGTAGCACAAGGCACTAGGGTAGCGAGCTAGCATGCGAGGGTGGACTAGGGGTAAGAAAGAGACGCGAGCATGAGTATGAATGCATTCTAGCCCCCTACGACTCTAGTATGAGCTCAAGCCGCCCCAGTGCCATGCGCTACCATCGCCACGCTGAATTGCCGTTTTGGTTACGAGCATGCACCGAGAAAGCAAAGCGACAAGACATTGAACCAAAGACAGGGAAGTGATACGGATGGCAAGGGAGCGAGTAAGGGGTTAAGAGGGAACTTAGCGGTGGGGTAATTGAGCGACAGGATCCATCGCATTCGCCTTCGCCTTCGCATTCGTCTTCGCCTTCGCATTCGCCTCCGCCTTCCTCGATCACCTTCGCCTTCATCACCAACGTCAGCGCCGTCGGCGATGGTCGTCTCTCCACCCACGCTGCAGCTCATGTTCTGCGCTCCACCGATCGCCTCCGCCTGCGCCTTCCCGTCAGCAAGCGCCGTCGTCAGCGTCAGCCGTCCCCGTCAGAACTTGCCACCTTGAAAACCTTCCGTCGCGTTGGAAACCTTCCGTCGCGCTCGTCACTGTCACGGCTATACGACGGCGATCGCCAGCATCAACGACACGTCGCAGTCGTCAACCTTCCACGATTCCGCCCCGATCGTCGACGTCAGAACTCGCCGTCTCAGTCGCCGTCTTGATCCGCAATCGCGTGAGATTTCGCCATCTTGATCCTTAGTCGCCTCGTCACCGTCAGAAATCCCAGTCTTGATCATCACCGTCAGCACGACTCGTCAATCGACGTCGCCGCAATAACTAATTCCCGCGATCTCAGCATCAAAATACGATCCCAATCATCAAGACTCGCCATCGCATTCAGGAACGGGATTTCGCGTCGTCATCATCCAGTCGGCAACGCGTTTCCGAGACGATGTTCAGTCATCACCGTCCGCCGGAAATCTCTGCAGCAGACGGATATCATCGTCGCCGTCATAAGTCCGCATCGGGATCGCCCTGGTCACCATAGCTGGAGTCCATCAGATTCATCTTCGCTTTCGCCTTTGCCGTCAACGAAGCCTCCAACGTCAACGTGAAACCTCCCGGACACCGTCGGAATACTCCGTCTTATTGTCGAACAGCAAAAATTTCGCCGTCTCGACCATCAGTCCCAATCATCAGACGTCGCCGATCCTCTCCGTCACCGTTAGATATACTCGTCACCATCAGAAGACGTCAACCGTCACCGTTAGACCTCCTCATCGAAATATTGACCGTCAGAAATGACTCGATTGTCGCCGTCACCATCGTCCGTCGGGAATTAATGTCTCGAACATCGCCGTCAGCACTTCTCATCTCTATCGTTGTCGTCAGAACTCGCCGTCTCCGTCGTTCCGGTCCAGAGACACCGTTTACTAATTCGAAATTCCCTGTCTCCGTCTCGGTCTGTGCCTCGGTCCTTGTTTTGAGACGGTCTGTGCCTCGGTCCTTGTTGTCGTGGTGTACGACAGAACGGCGTCATCGTTGCTGCCTGAAACAGCTGTGGCTGTCGCCAAGTGAACCATGCTTCATGATGGCTGAGAGGCATCACGACGAACCGAAATCGTCACGAAACCGTATCTGACAGCCTTAAGCAGAAATTTCTCGATGTGGTAGAGGATCACAATGGCGCTTCGAATAACGACCTAATCAGTATTGAATAAAGAGAGATGCTACTAGTTCTATCATCGAGCTACTCTGAATGCATTAAGTAACGTAGTAGCGCTTTATCATCTACAGGTACGACTAGGACTATGCTCGAGAGGTATTCAACGGTCTGTGATCTAGACGACCGCAATGAAGGATAGCTGACGAAACCAGTTGAGCCATGAGTATTCCTCAATCATGCTAGACCATGATACTCGAACACAAGATCATCTAGAATTAAGCTGCTAAGAATACTAAGATTTAGACCTACTTAACGGTTGGTGATGGAACTTCAAACGGCAGCCATGGATTCCAAAGAAACGGATGAGTCTGATGCCTAGGAGTGTGAGAGAATTGCGGTGATCATGGAAAGAAAGGCGTTCAGGGAAGCTCGATTATGGGATTCAGGAAGTGAAAAGAGGGGTTCAGTGAAGCATTTCAGGGAATTCAGAGGTTTTCAGAGCGGTTTACAGGGATCCACAGAAGCAAGAGAGGTGAGACCAAGGGGGAATGCAGCAGGATGTTGGAGGGCAAACGCAATCGCTTCCCTTTCCCAGCTCTGGTGCAGGCCGCCGCACCGTCGGCGCTCGGAAGATTGCCTTTCGCTTGCGGGATGATTGATTCGCGAGAGTTTCGACACGTTTCGTGGGAAAAGTTACAACATCTCCGAAGCGCGGGAGTATCACAGTTGCGATTGTTTGCGCGGGAAACATCGCCACATGTCTGACAGATGCTCATTCCCGTATACCACCTCCGTATTACGTATTATCATCATAGCCATTTGTCATTTCTATAAGAACATGTATACATTGCAAGCCTTGTGCATTGTCATAAATCAGGAGACTTTTGGTGGTGAAAGAAAGATGCTCTATGTTCTATTTTGGTGAGACATGTGAGTTAGGACATGGTCATACAATCATTCTTATCCCTACCAAACACATTCTGGCTTTTACTAATTTGATTGCTTCTCATGGTGCTGCCGCTCATACTTTCCAAACCTCCCAGCCAATCCCTTTCGAACCACAGCAGCACCACCAGCGCACAGCAAGCAGCAATGCCGGTAACCACGCTGAAAGCAACGCATGTAAGAGAGCTAGGCGGGCAGTAAGACAGCATCTGTCATCCGTCTCCTCCCCCCTGCATCTCTCCCCGGGTCCCCTCCCCCCTCCCCTCCCTCCTCATCATCCAAGTATATTATTTCCGCCATCTGCCAAATCTGATCTTCTGAACGACTCAAACCGCGCTCATTCAGTCATCCTTCTTCTCCCCCCTCCATCTCTCCCCCCATCCGCCTCCCCCCCTTCCTCCTCCTCATCATCCAAGTAGATATTTTCAGCCATCTGCCAGATCTGCAAAATATTATCCTCTGCCACGCTGGCAATCACCCAGTCATCATTGCCGTTCCACGAGAAATCAGATATTTTGCTCGTGTGGCCCCCGTGGATGAACAGTAGCTCGGGCGGCCCGTCCTCGGCATCATCTGGCGCCTGCTGCTCGCCGATCCTGAGATCAAGGTTCAGGATGAAGGGGAGGAGGGGGGAGGGGGGGGGGGGGGGGGGTGGGCAGAAGCGGGTGGGCGTGAGCGGGAAGAGGTGTTGCGCGAAAGGGGGTGTGGAAGAATTGACATCTCTGCAATTTTACAGACAATCCGCCTTTGAGGAGTTTACATATGAGCAGCTGGTTGAGCCGCC